CCCCCCCCTCCCAGTCTTATTCTGTCTCTCTCTGTCTCCCTCTCCAACGCCACACGGCTCGCTCCCACCACTCCTTTTGCCACGTTCTTCTCCCTTTTCCTTCTTGTTCAGTTTTGAAACAAAAGACAAAGGAGTTCCGATTCCCCTGTAGCCTGTAGCCTCATCATCTGCGGCGATATGTATCGTGTCCTCAAAGGGATGTGTCCAGACCACCTTAAATCTCGTTGGGGATTGATCGAGCCACTTCGATGATCCCAACAACATCCGAACGGCGAAGCCTTAAATCGAGTGTTCTAAAACCACCGTCTTTAAAATTGCAAGGGTGCTAAAAGGTTCCAAATTTTCTCAGCCGTGAAACTGATAAACTGATATTGCTTTTTACATTGCGCCTCAAGTTTGAGAACGAGAGTAGAATAGTCCTCTATCCGTATTTAAACAAAGTTAACTATTATCTTTTTAGTAACAGCGGCCATGACCCCTTGGGAACCTCGGCCCTCACCCCTGTACACTTAGCGACCGTGGCGTGGGCGACTCGCTCACTCGCACACTCTCCCCTCCAAATTACAAACAACGTAGGCGAATGATAACGCCAAGGCTGATTGCGATTCATTACATATTTAGCACTGCCGTCTCCATTATCTCTCGCAGGTTTTACGCTCTCGTTTCGAAAATGCCTCATCTCGCCGCCCGGCTGAGAGGGAATTATTATTTGTTTACGAGTCGTGGAATGTCTGTGTGCTGTTTTCGACGGAATGGACAAGCCTCTCGTCGTCGCCGTCATGCATTTCTTATGGTGGATTTAATGGCGGGACAGTCACCGTGTGCTGACTCTGCTGCTGCGGGGTTCGAACAGCGAAGAGCCTTTTGCCTTTCGTATCTTACTCCTTGTTCTGTCCGGTTCTGTCGATAATTTAACCAATATTGATAATATGGGCGCTAAATACTAATTGCTCGGTGAACCGCAGAATACAAAAATTCTAGTGGATGCACTCAGCTTATTCGATGTATGCACTTGTTTTGAAAAAATGGAGTTGGTTTCAAGTTCCTGATTTT